ATATATATATATGTATCAATGGTATAGAATTGAGAGTCCAGAAATAAACCCATACATCTACGGATTATACAACAAAGATGCCAAACCAATTGAATGAGGCAAGGACAGTCTTTCCAGTAAATGGTGCTGGGACAACTGGATATTCTCATAGAAAAGAAGTAGATGAATGGTTGTGAGGGGATGGGGGGAGGGAAGAATTGGGAGTGACTACTAAGGGTATGCAGTTTCTTTTGGGGTGATGAAAATGTTTTAGAATTAGATAGTAGTGATGGTTACTCAACCTTGAGAATAGACTAAAAACCACTGAATTGCATACTTTGAAGTGGTTAATTTCATGGTATGTGAATAATATCTCAATTTAAAAATGTATCTGTATATAATTCTTACCTTCCACTCTCCCCATCCCCACTGCTACTACTCTCACTGAGGTCACCAACACATTTCGTTACCCAAAAGCCTCCTATCTGTTCTTCCTACCTCCATCCTTGCCCACTATAGCCCCTTCTTCACACAGCAGCCAACCCAATACTGTGTGTTGGATGTGCGTGTGTGATTTTAAAAACGTATTTATTTATTATTTGTCTAATTTTTTATTTTGTAATAATGTCATACTTACAGAAAAATTGCAAAAATATTACAAAGAGTTCCCATGTACCTTTCACCCAGTTTCCCCATCTTACACAACAATCATCAACACTAAGAAATTTATACTATCCTATTAACTAATCTAGAGATCTTATTTAAATTTCACCAGTTGTCCCACTAATGTCCTTTTTCTGCTCCAGAATCCAATGCAAGGACCCCTATCGCATTTAGCTGTCTTGTCTCCTTAGTCTTCCAATGGTGTCCATTTTCCCATTACTAATGACCACTTGGTTAAGCAAGCATCTCCAGGTTTGTCCTCTATAAATGTCTGAGTTTTCTCTTTGTAATTAACAAGTATTTTGTGGGAGATACTATAAGACTATGCAAATATCCTCTTTCTCATCATACTTTGCCCACTAAATTTTGTATGGATTGATGATTCTTGCCTGCAACAATTATTACTGTGGTGTTTGTCAAATGATGGTTTTCTATGTCCATCATTTCTTCTATATTAATTAATTTAGTCTCCTGTAATGAGTTCTGTTCCTTATTATTTATTTATTTATTTTTGTCAGTATAAACACATGGGCATTTATTTTATTCTATGAGTTACAGTTCACTATTATCACTATTTTATTGCACGAATTGTCCCAGATTTGGCCATTGGCAGCTCTTTCAGGTTGGCTCCTGTCTCATTTTGAAATGCTCCCATCACTTTCTGAGTACTTCTTTGCTTTCTGGCATTGCAGAAGATTCCAGGCTCATCTTGTACCTTCCCCGGCCCTGACCTGTAGCCTCATCTTTTTAAAGATAATTTCAGCCACGTCACCCCCTGCTTCCTACCCCCGATGACTCCCTGAGAATAAAATCCTTGCCAGGGTTTCAAGGCCCTTTTTTATTTCTTAAGCCTTAGCTCCTCCCGCTCTCCCCCTGGCTTAATTACTCTCCTGGCACACGGGTGTTCTAACAGTTCCTAGGACATGCCCAGCTATTGTGGCCTCGGGGCTTTGCACCACTGGCTCTTTGTCACCCTTCAGCTTTCACCTTATGTCACCTCCACAGAAAGGATTCCTTGACTCTCTACCCAAAAGAGCTTCCCTCCTCAAATTGCTCATCGTCTCACTACCTGCCCACTTCTCCTTAGCACTTGGCGTAACCTCTGTTGCATTTGCTTTAAAATACATATCGTCAAACTTTTTCTTTATTTTTGGCATTTTAAAATAAGGATTAAATAAATATGAATGCAACAGTTGTGAATGCAAACTGATAAAGGAAAGTCAAACCAGGCATCAAACGTGACTGATGCCACTGGTGACCTGATTTCCAACCCTTTGAACAACGCTTGGCAAAATTCAAGACAAAACAAAGTACGTTCTTCTTTGAGTTACACAATAGTTGCCCCTGGAAAATTCAATGTTTATCAAAATCGAGCAGAAAATACTTTTGTGTTTACGTATAAAACAGGATTGGGTTTTAGGCTCAGAGCATTATAAACAAGTTTTTCACCCACTTGAATGTCAGGTGGGGCACTGGAGAGTCATACGCAAGCTACACAGTGTTTCAGTGAGCCAGACTGTCCTGGGCTTCGCAGGGTATTTGGCCCTGGCGTTGCCAGCAGATCCCCTAATCGCTGTGCCAGTCAAGTGGATCCCTATTCAGTTGAGATTTCTAAAACATTTAGATTTCTAAAACCCATTCATTTCAGATTTCTAAAACACCCCCTGGAGTGGTGCAGGGCAGTGTTTTTTAAGAAGCCATGATGCAGGAGTGAACCCCATAGACAAGGGAAGCAAAGGGACCGTGGGGGGTGGGCCCTGATGTGTGTGATTGCCCCATCTCACTGCAGCAGCAATCACCATACTAGTAATAGGAAGACATTCCCAGGCGGGAAGGAAAGAGAGTGTGAGGTCCTTCCTGACGCCAACTAGGAGTCACCCCTTCTTCCTCTGATCCCATAGCACGCTCCTCTCTTGGGCCAATGAAAGCTTCTGCTTTGCATTAGTGTTGCCGAGCACACAGCTGTTCTGCTTATTGGCCTGCAGGTTCCAGGAGAGCTTCTTCTGATCCACTCCTGCAGCTCCAGCATCCAGCGTGGAGCCCAGCAGGTACTCCGCTAATGTCTGTGGAAGATATAAATGTGTCTGCGCTTTAACCGGGGAGAATGGGGCACAGGGCAGGCCTGAGGCAAGTCCTCTCCCAGAGCTGCTCCTAAGGCACTGCTGGCCCTCTGGGAGTACTGAGCCCCCACCATGTGTGTGCCAGGCCCTGGGATGGCCCGGGATGCAGAGATGTGCAAGACAAACACCTGCCCTTGGGGAGGAAACAGACCCCCACACCTGTGGCAACCGTGGCAATGGAGGACGGCATGGGACTGGGGGGCATGGAAAAGGGGCAACTAACTCTGCCCGGGCTGTGGGGGCCAGGCATCAGGTCCGCGGGTGGTGTCTGAGCGGAGTGAGGAAGGGTTTCATAGTCGTGGCATTTGCCTTACTTGTTGAACCACTGTGGTGCACATTTGTTTTAAAAAATAATAATAATAAAAGCCAACCTTATGGCCTGTGGGTTAAAAAAAAGAAGAATGATGAAATGGTCAACCAGGTTTAAGGCTATTGAGAGGTCTGGGCACGTGAAAACAGGAAAGTGTTTATTAGGGTTGGCAATATGGAGGTCGTTGGCAAATATAGCAAGAGTGACTGTTTCTGCAGAATAGCGAGACCAGAGCCATATATCGGATGTGCCATCATCCCAAATCTTCACAGTAGCACTTAAAGCTAAGGACCGTCAACCTGCCACGGTACTCAACGTTGTGCGTAGTGTTGAGGACTGAAGCTCTGGAGACTGAGCGCTGGGGTCAAACCCCAGCGCCTCCGCGTCCTGACTCTATCACCTGAGCACGTTACTTAAGCAGTCTGTATTTAGTTTCCTCATCCGTATACTGAGAATGGTGACAATATCTCCTTCATAGGGCTGTTTGAGAATTGTATGATTTAACATACGTAAAGCCCTTAGAAAGCTTATTAGATATTTACTATCTACCTCATCACCCTCCTTGTACAGATGAAGGAACAGAGGCTCTCAGAGCTTTCCGCAGATCCCAAGACTAATAACGATGGAGGAAGAATGTCAGCCCTGCTCTCCTGGACTCCACATCCTGAGTTAGAATTTGAAGAGTGACTCCCACTCAGGGACCTGCACCTCAGATCCAGCTTCCTTTAAGAGCAAGAGGCCTCTTCTGCAGGTAGATCAGCAGGACCCAGTAAACAAGTCATAGCCTTCTGGTAACACTAGGCCCATCGTATGCCCAGAGACTGAGCTGGTCCTTTATAGACAATATGCACACTCCTTAACCATAGGATACGTGCGTCCCGTCTGGTAGACAAGAACTACACACCTGGATCCAGTAATGGGGGTTACTCAGTCACATGTTTCCAAACATGACTGTCATCTTCCCAACCTATTCACTCCTTTTCAACCTGGAGATTACTTATCGATATCAAGGTTATTCATTCTTTATCAATGTTCCAATTATTTCCAGGAAACTAGAAAATAAATTACAGCACACAAACATAATTACTATTGATAAACTCTTTGTGAAAGCAATAGGATGTTCTGTATCCAGAATCAAAATAATGTTAATACTCTTTGACATACTAATTCCACTTCTGGGAATTTATCCTAAGGAAATAATCCAAGAGAAGAAAGGAAATAATGGGTATGAAGATGCTGTATTATTCAGTGGAATATTATATAGTTTTCATATCTCCATAGCAATATGAAAATTACTTATGCTTTAATGTGAAATTTTAAAAAATACAAAATTATGACTGCACTCTTATCATATGACAGGAATTTCACAAAAATCATGTATACAGATTGGAAGAAAATAATAAAGAACATCATTTTGGTCACTCTTGTTTCAACATCAGCTTTATGACCTCAGGCAAGAACTTTGGCTCCCTAAGACTCAGTTTCCTCATCTGTAAAATGAATATAATAATAATAAATATCTACTAAGCATTTACTATGTGCCAGGCACTGTGTGTGCTAAGTGCTTTAAGCACTTAGCCTTATCTTATTTAAGGCTTTAAGGCCTTATCTTATTTAACCCCTCAGTGACCCTGTGAAATAGGAACGACTCTTATCATCATTTTCCAAACATAGAAACTGAAGCTCAGAGATGTGAAGTGACTTGCCCAAGGTCACACAGTAAGAGGAGATGTGGGATCTGAGCCCAGATTCCTTCCCAGCTGATCTCTGAGCCAGAGCTCATGATCACCAGGCTATCATTGAAAGTAATTGTGAAAATTAAAGTTAATATGTAAAAAGTTTTCAGCATATAGTAGCTGCTACATGCATAGATCTATTTGCCTTGTGGATAACTGGGCAATGAGAAACACTAGCAGTGTGGGGAGGGGACATCAGAGGTGCCCAGCTGTGGAGGCAGCCCAGAAGGTCAGGGCCCAGAGAATAATAATGTTAGCTAATTGATATTAAGTGCTTGCTTTGTACCAGGCACTGTTCTAATTGACAACTCATTTAATCCTATAACAACCCTATGAAGTAGGCAGTATTATTATTCCCATTTATAAGTAAGGAAACTAAGGCACAGAGAGGTTAAGAAACTTGCCTGAGGTCACATAGCTAATAAGCAGAGGAACCCGGAATCAAACCCCAGGCAATGCTGGCTCTCGAGCCCACCTCTTTGCCACCTTGCTGTAGCCAACTCTGAAAGACTGGACCGAATGTTTGCCCCACAATGTGGTCGTCTCAGATCTTGGGATTATCTGGGAATATTTTCTCCATTTCGTTGGAAGTTCCACTGTTGCTATAGTGTTTATATGGTTTCTTTTAAAAATAAAAATGTCTAAAAGTGGGCAAAGGACTTGATAGACATTTCTCCAAAGAAAATATACAAATGGCCAGTAAGCACATTGAAAATATGTTCAACATCACTAATCATTAGGCAAGTGCAAATCAAAACCGCAATGAGACACTATCTTACACTCATAAGGATGGCTATTATAAAACAAAAACAAAAAATAACAAGTGCTGGCAAAGATGTGGAAAAATTGGAACCTTGTGCATTGCTGGTGAGAATCTATAATGGTGCAGCTGCAGTGAAAAATAGTCTGGCAATTTCTCCAAAAATTAAACATAGAATTACCATATGCTCTAGCATTTCCACTTCTGGGTATATACCCAAAAGAATTGAAAGCAGGAACTGAAATAAATATCTGTACATGTTCATAGCAGCATCATTCAGAATAGCTAAAAGGTGGAAGCAACCTGTTATGGGCTAAATTGTGTCCCCCCACAAATTCATATGTTGAAGTCCTAACCTCCAGTACCTCAGAATGTGACTATATCTGGAGATAGGGCCTTTAAAGAGGTAATTAAGGTTAAATGAGGTCATTAGTGTGGGCCCTAATCCAATATGACTGGCATCCTTATAAGAAGAGCACATTATGACAGGCACACACAGAGGGAAGACCATGTGGAGACACAGGGAGAGGACGGCCATCTACAAGCCAAGGAGAGAGGCCTCCGAAGAAACAACCCTGTCAACACCTTGATCTTGGACTTCTGGCCTCCAGAACTGTGAGAAAATAAATTTCTCTCGTGTAAGCCACCCAGTCTCTGGTACTTTGTTACGGCAGCCCCAGCAAACTAACATACAACCAATGTCCAACAACAGATGAATGAATAATCAAAATGCGTAATATATAGAGAGTGGAATATTATTCTGCCTTAAAAAGGAAGGAAATTTTAACACATGCTATAACATGGATGAACCTTGAAGACATCATGCTAAGTGAAATAAGGCAGTCAAAAAAGGACAAATATTGTATGATTCCACTTAGATGAAGTACCTAGAGTAGTCCAACTCATAGAGACAGGAAGTAGTATGGTGGTTGCTAGAGGCTGGGTGAAGGGGGGATGGGGAATTAGTGTTTAATGGGTACAGAGTTTCAGTTTGGGAAAAGTTCTGGAGATGCATGATGGTGACGGTTGCACAACAATGTCAATGTACTTAACGTCACTAAATTGTACGCTTAAAAAAATTTAATGATAAATTTTATGTCATGTATATTTTGCCACAATTTTTAAATTTTTTAATGAAAAATAAGAATTTCTAATAACAAAATAAAATGAAAATCCTATTAGTACAATTAGGAAAACAGAAACCACTTTAGATATTTTAAACAAAGGGAAGTTAATACTGGGAATTGATTACAAGGTATAGGAAGGAGCAAAAGAGGAAAATCACCCAAAGGTCAGCAACTGCAGGAAGCCACTGCTAACCCTGGAGCTGAAGGAGTAAAGGAGAGAATGGTGCTGTCACCCAGAGCCCAGGAACACAGCACCTCTGAGGCTGCCATACCCAGGAGCCTGCGCATGCTGGCTGCAGCTTCTGCGCCCACTGGGCCCAGAGGCTGCACCAGAAACTGGAGGAAAAACGGCTTCTCCCTTTCTCACCTTCCAGTCTCCGGCCAGTGCCTCCGATTGGAAGATCCCAACAGAAGCAAGCTGAATAGAGATTCTGGGAAATGTAATTTGCAGGCTTCCAGCCTAGGGGAGTATAGAGAGGCAAGCCGATTCACGCCAACTCGACTCAACTCATAGGTCTTTAAACAAAGTGATGGGAAAGAAGGGGGCAGCAGTGGGAAAGAAAATGAAGTTTTGAAACTCACAGAATTCCTGTGGACATTCGTTTGTTACTTTCTATCAACCCACTGCCATTATCCGGAAGCACTGAAGATGAAAGGGGAAGAAGCTGTCTTGGTGATACCCATTCCTGGTATTAACTTCTCTTTGTTTAAAATATCTAAAGTGGTTTCTGTCTTCCTAATTGTACTAATAGGATTTTCATTTTATTTTGTTATTAGAAATTCTTATTTTTCATTAAAAATTGTGGCAAAATATACGTAACAAAATTTATCATTAAGGCCAGTTCCAGTAACGGAACTGCCATTACAAATCCATGGGGTTATGCGGGGCTGTCAGTCAGGGAGGATGCCCCTCCTCCTCCACAGGGGCAGGCAAGGGACCCAAATAAGTCGATCTCTCCCTCCCATCCCCTTGGACAGTGACTAGCTCGGGGATAGGCACAGGATCCAAGCAGGCCTATTCAGAGAGATTTTGGGGAATTGCTGGACATAAAGAGGATCTCACGCTTTAAGAGATCCTGAGCTATAAGGACCCTGTAAGTCTGAAGGTGCTGGAATCATCTTCCACCTGAGGAAAGAGGGCCTGATGGGGAATGTAATGTCAGTTTTTTAGCCACGAGACACCAACCAGTGTCAACTCCTGATTGGTGCTGGACCTGGGATAAATGAACACCCTAAGACAGCCGCTGCTTCTTCAAGCTTCTCATGTTGACATGGCGTTGATTCAGGTCTCCTCACTTTAAGCTTATGCAGTGGAATTTTTATTTTATTTTTTTTACCCTAAATGCAGGTTCAAGGAGTTGGGTGATTTTCTTGTCTAACACTCCGGAGTTACACTCAGGAGCGGCCCACGTGGTGCGGGTTCCCTGCACTGTGGCCCTGTAATTATGTGCTTTGGAACTTCTGTAAATAATTGCCTTGGATGGGGTCCAAGCAGCTTTCTACTGAGTTCTGGTGTGTACAGAAAGGTGTCTCTGTGACCTGCCAGTGTGCTTGTTTGCTTAGTGATGACAGGGGTCATGGGGACAGGGGATGACACCAAAGCCGGGAAAAACCTAGAAACCACAGCTTCTACCCCAGTTCCTAGGTGAAAATCAGAACACCCTGTGTACAACCAAATGCTTTTGGAGTTTCCTGTGCCTATAGTTTTAATATGGTACTTATATCACTGGAATTCTTTCTGCTGCTGGTGACAAAAACCCAAATCAACCTAGGCACAAAAGGGAATTTTTTGGCTTCTGTAAATGAACATTTTAGGGGAATCCTCAGGCATGAGTGGATCAAGATGCAGGGCTCTCTCTCTCCATCACTAGAAGCTCTTGTCTTCTTCTTTCCTTAGGTCACCATGTTGTAATTCTGTTCAAGCATCTCAGGAAAACGCAGGCCAGTACGTGGTCAGAGCGCCCTGGAGAGTGGTGTGCCATTCGGAAAGTCATTCTCCATGCAAGGAGTCAACAAATGCAAGGGGACATAGGTGGTGACATACCAAAGAAGGGGTGGTGGGAGCCATCTGCCCCCGCAGAAGGAAGAATTTTATCATCAATATTGTTTAGAATCACC